GCGGCCAGGGCGCGGGGGGGGGAGAGGGAGGTTGGTGGGAGGAGGCGGAGGAGGAGGAGGAGGAGGAGGAGGAGGAGGAGGACGAAGAAAGAGAATAATAATACTAAGAAGAAAAAGAAAAATAATAAGAAGAGCAGCAAGAGGGGGAAGAGGGGAGAAGGAGGAGCAGGAGGGGGAGGAGGAGGACGGGGGAGGAGGAGAAGGAGGAGGAGGAGGAGAAGAGGAGGAGGAGGAGGAGGAGGAGGAGGGAGGGTGGAGTGGTGGAGGATGAGCAATACCTCGTATCCTCGGGAGGACCGAAATGGGGGCAGCAACGATGGAGCTGAAGACCCACAGTAGTTCGTCTCCATTTTAAAGAGGATTCGTTGTCGGTGCCTCTGTGACGCTGTCCATTCAGGACAAGCGGTCGTCGACCCAACGGCGGCCGCTGCCGATTTTCGAGCAACATTTGCTGTTCGGCATCGTCCCCGTTTTTGTCCGTCACCAGTTCGGGCGTGCCAACACCCCTGCTCCTCCTCCCAGCTGTTGGCCCAATCGCAGGTCCGCAGCCTCTGCCTCTGACTCGACTGGCCACTCGCCGCCGGCTGCATGCCACTCGGCATGCCTGTGGCCGCCTTGCTTGGCCTGATCAAGCGCTGGCTACACGTGGGAAGGATGGCGCGCGTGGTTGTGGGCCCCCAGGTGCCGTGCCCCCCCGAGCTCAATGTCAAGTTCGTCCTTTAGGCCCCTTCTTCCGGACGCCTGCCTCCTGTGGCGCTCCACACGGCGTTTTTGCCCTCCCGTGCCGGCTCCGCAGTGAGGTGCAAGCAGCACGCGGCAGTGGACCGCGGGCACAGGCGTTCCAGCGGCTGCTCGGAGGTCTGAGCACGCGGCCTGGTGCACTGCCCAGCCATCCACATGCCGAAGGCCCACCTTTAAGTCGGGCGTGTCCCTGTACAGGAGGAGTCTTTACGATAGTAAGAAAACAGTCCAGGCACGATCTTCTGAGTATTGTTGATTTTTTTGTTGACTCTTTCAATTTTTTCGTCCAGAACCCGCCTGTATCGGGCCGGGCGAAAGGGGGGGATTGGGAAAGGGGGGGTTACGAAATTTGCTGCATGCAGCTGTTTTCGGCCTCACCGAGGGGCCCATTCCTCGATACATGGCCGCCTCCCGGCGCCGGGAGGCGCCGGGAAAATCAGCTCCGTGAAGCTGAGCCTCAAACCCCCCTTGGCCATCGCCCCCTTTCGCCCGGACCCGAGGCGTCCGTAGGAGCACATGCCCGACCTCAAGCACGCGGCCTGCTGCACTGCCCAGCCATCCGCACGCCGAGGGCCCCGCTCCCGGTGGAGGCGCGGGGGCGCGGGACCGCCGTGCCCGTGCTCCTCCGCCCCCATGCCGGCGCGCAGGCGCCGCCGGGGCCGAGGCCGAGGCCCCGCCCCCGCTCCTCGAGATTGTTTTGATGGGCCTGTTTTCCACCACCACCATCATAAGTTGGAGGGGGAGGGGGTCCTCCTCCTCCTCCTCCCCTCCTCCTTCCTCCTCCTCATGCGTCCTCTCCCCTTTCCTCCTCCTCCTTAAACCGCATGCCGAGATAAAAGGACCCCCTCCCCTTCAGTGTTTAGAGTTGATTATCGTCGCCCTATACAAAATTCAAATGGGGCGGCGAGCGCTGAGGCCGAACTTCATTATCACCTCGAAACGCTATGTTGAGATAGCAACATCAAGCGATGTTGATATAGCAACATCAAGCGAAGCGATCACACTTATTCAGGATGTGTCAAGCGAAACCAATCATTTTGGGAGGCAGACTCAAACGAAACGAGCAATGTTCTTATTATTCTTCAGGCTTCCGCCACATCCGCCGACCCCTTGGATTTTCCCCGGGATCGTTCACCACAGCTTCCTTGCAAACCGTGGGAAAATGAGGTTGTTCAGGGCCCGTCACAGCGAGAAGGGGAGCCGACATGGGTCGCAAACTGGCCCAGAGGGCTTCCAGACGGCCCAAGCGAACCCCAAGACGGCACAGGGAGGTTTTTTGGGTTGTGTTTGGGGCCTTGTAAGGGTGCCGGAGCCAGGGAAGTATGTTACACCCCGGAGACATCTTACGGTTGTCGGCGGTTTCCAAGCGGGATGTCCCGCTAATTGTTAATGTTCGGAGATGTTTGGGCTGACCTTGTCGATGGCAATGACGTCGTTGATGATCACGACACTGATGACGATGATCGGCTCCCTCTCCTCCTCTCCTCCTCCCCCTGCTCCTCCCTCCTGCTCCTCTTTCTGCCTCTCCTCCTCTTCCTTCTCCTGCCCTTCCTCCTCCTCCTCCTCGTCCACGTCCTTCTTCCCTTCCCTTCCCCGCTTTTCTCTCCTCCTCCTTCTTGTCCTTCTCCTGCTGTTCCTCCTCCCGCCCTTCGTCCCTCTCCTCCTCATCCTCATCCTCCTCCTCCTCCTCCTCCTCCTCCTCCTCCTCCTCCTCCTCCTCCTCCCCCGCCTTCTCCTCCTCCTTATCCCCCTTCCCTTCCCGGCCTTCTCCTCCTCTTCCTCCCCCTCCTTGTCCTCTTCCTCCTCCTCCTTCCCCTCCTCCTGCTCCTCCTCCCCCCCCCTCCTTCTCTCAAGCAATTTGGGGCGCGAGCGGGTTTCAGGGGGCAGGGCACTCACTTCTGCATACCCTACTTTCCCCGCCCGCGCCTGCCTCGGCGCTTCCACGCAGCGTTTGAGGGGCGCCGCACCGCCCGCTCCGACGAGGGCAGGCTGTTGCGGCGGCGAAGCCGAGGCATCATGGCTGGAGCAGACAAGGTGTGGTCCAAGTGCGGTGGGTGCGGCACTTGTGAATGGAATGCGAAGCTGCTTCAGAGAGACAGGCGTTGTCAGAAATGTAATCGTCAGGTCAAGCTACACAGGCCACGCTCGGTGTCACGCGACCGTCGAGTTTCCTTCGAGGATAACCAGCTGGCGGACACTGGCGGGGGCAGTCAACCCAAGTCGATCCTGAAGCCGACTGTGTCATCTCTCCTCACATCGGCCATCTCTGCAGCGACGGACCCCGCCTTGAAGGCCACACTCGAGGCCGAGCTGGCCAAGTTGAGCACCAAGGCAGCGGAGGTCCCGTCCGCCTCTGAGGTGGAAGTGGCTCGGAAGGCTGACGCAGCTCTTCGAGATGCAGGAGTAAAGCACGATCAGGCCGTCAAGGCGGTCGTGCGTCTCAGGGCGGCCCTTGAGACCGCCGAGGCGAAGGAGTCGGCAGCAGCGGTGGCTCTGGTGCGAGCGGCGGCGGCGAAGAAGGATGCTGTTCGTGTGCTGGCCGCAGCTGAGGGCGTCAGTCCCACGCCCCAGACCGAGGCATCGCACACGGGGCCCAAGCTGAACCTGTCCTGGGACGCGTCGCTCTTCGAGGACCTGGACGGCTTCGAGGAGCAGGAGAGGCAGGCCATGCTGAAGCTCAAGCAGGAGCTGGAGGGGGCCCGCGAGCTGCTGGGCACTCGCGAGGAGCAGATCAAGGAGTGGCTGCAGAAGGCCAACGAGGTCAAGTCTGCAGTCCAGGAGCGGCTCAAGAAGAAGAGGCGAGCTGCGCCTGAGGGCGAGGGCTCTGGCGGGGGCGGCGGCAACACCGACGGGGCGGCCGAGGCCCCGTCAGCCGAGGCGGCACCACCGCCGCCCGAGAGCCCTGAGGAAGCTCGGGCGCGCGAGGCGCGCGAGGCAGCCGTTAAGGATGAGGCCGCGAAGATCTCCCAGGCGAAGCTGGCGGCCGAGACCGCCAAGCGCAAGGGCAAGAGCAACGGCAAGGGCGTGGACGCTGCGGCGGCCACCAATGCTGGCACTGACAGCCAGTGAGGTCAGGCCGAGATGCACGAGGATAGTGGTGAGTTGTCTTCGTCATCGGCGGCCTGTGGAAGCTTACCAGATTATTCGTCGGCGGCCACGTCTCCGAGCCCATCGAAGGTGCGGCGGTTTCCAGGTACTGGGTCGACATCGTCCAGTACGAGGGCCCCATCGAGGGCTTCGTCGAGGGGATCGGCCAGGTCGTGCAGCTCACGGGCGAGCTCAAGCGGCAGGTCGGCACCTCCTCCTTCCTCTTCTTCGGCGTCGGCAGCCTCGGGATCGCCATCCCCACAGCCGGCCCCCATTTTGACTCGCGAGGCGAATGAGGCAGTAGCTTCAGGCGCAGAGGGGACATCTACGCTTGTGTTCGGTAACATCACGTGCATGGGCGATCGCATTTGGACCTATGTTCGCGATCAGTGCGCGGCTGTTCAGTTTTTCGCCTTCGTCGAGACCCATGTTTGTAAGCAAGATCTTAGGAAGCACGACTTGGCAGCCAGGAAGCTCGGCCTTCGGCTCTTTGCTACAGGAGCAAGGCCCTCAGCTTCCTCACCAGCGGCATCCACGAATGGGCATGCCAATGAAGGAGGGGAGTGGATTCTCACTCGTGGGCACCTTCAAGCGCATTCCCTGACGATAGCCGATACAGCAGCACTACAACATGAGCGTGCTGCGCTGCCTGACGGCTTCCGAGTCACCATAGTTCACATGAAAGGTTACGTTTTTGCCTTGGTCGCTTTCTACGGGTACTGCGGCATCGGCTTCCGCGGCGCCAACATCACTCGCTATCGGAAGCTCGGTGGCCTCCTGTTATCCTTGCAGATTCCATGGGTTGTGGTTGCGGACTTCAACGTGAGTGCCGCTGCCTTGTCCAAAGCAGAGTTTGTGAGCAGAGTCGGGGGTCACATCCTCGCCGCCAATGTGCAGTACACGTGCAACTCAGGCGCTCAAGGTTCACATATCGACTATGTGGTCTGTTCTACATCAGCGCTCAGTTTTGTCAAGTCGGTCGAGCCGTTGGTTGCAGTTCCGTGGCAGACTCACGTGGGCCTGAAGGTGCAGTTTCGGCAATCGGGAGCACAGCTTTTAACGCGAGTGTTGTCGACAGCTGTCAAGTTGCCGCAGGTACCTCGCCCAGGTCAGGAACCCGATCCGCAATCCAAGTCGAGTCGGTCGAGACAGGAACGCGTGCTCAATGGCTT